ATCCATTTCTCTGATTCCATCATCCATCCCAGGTGGAGGTGAGTCCGTTGGAAAACGCCATCTCTGTGGTGGAAAACAAGAACCAAGAGCTGCGGACTCTGATCAGTCAGTACCAACACAAGCAGCTGCACGGGAACATCAACCTGCTCAGCATGACGCTGAATGGAGTCATCGACGCTGCTGTGAACGGAGGCATCGCTAGATACCAGGAGGTTGACTAAAACAATCTTTAAAAAACAAACTCTGTAATAAGAGTTAATAATTTTTATTTTTAGGTTTTATTTTGGCTGTCTGGTCATTTCAAGATTTTAAAGAAAAAATCTTTTATTTTTTTAGTTTCATTATGAAGCACAAGAGCTGATAATTTGATCATTTATAACTATTTAAAAATAGCTTTCCTTTAAATTTTTTTAAAGGTCTGGTTCTTAATTTTGTTAAAAATTGTAATACAGCATTCTAAAAGTGTAATAGCTCAATACAAACATTAGCAGAAACCCTTCAGTAAGTATAAAATTACCTTTTTTTCCTTTTTTGTTTTTTTCACCAGGCTTTCTTTGATAAGGATTACATCACCAGCCACCCGGAAGACACAGAGAAGATCACGCAGCTCAAAGACCTCATGCAGGAACAGGTCACACAATATTTACATTTTTATTATTTCTGTCACATACGTTTTTATCTAAGCATCTTAGCATCTTTTTCAGGAGAAAAGAGGGCAAGACGATTCAGAGTCACACATTCAACGTTAGATAATTACATTGAAATGCATAAACCAAAAAAAACAACGTAATGACAATAGAACTTTGGGGGAAAAAATTACGAATTCAGTGAATTGCTAAAGTCTAGCTAAGAGGAGAGTCAAGAATTTTTATGTAAATGCTGTTAAAGTTGTAGGATCATTTCCAGCCTCCTTCTGTAACATGTTGATGTGGCCTGGGCAAGGCACTCTCACTTTATATTACCTGCCAGTCGTCATGTANGTTGATGTGGCCTGGGCAAGGCACTCTCACTTTATATTACCTGCCAGTCGTCATGTACTGTAGGTGAATAAATGTGTGGATCTTTTTGAAGTCTGACTTTGAGTAATGAGTATACCTGGAAAAGCTTTATATAAAATTCATCTTGGTCTTTTTCGTTTCTATTAATACTGTAAAAAGACAGACTGCTTAAAAGGGCCTATATTATGCAGAATAAATAGTGGTGGGCAGAATTTTTTAAAATCTAGATTAATCTCACTATAATCTTGGAATTAAACTAGATCAAAATCACTCATTTGAATTCTGCCAAAGAAATTCATATGTGTGTGCTTCCTAAATAAGTAAAAGTAAGTCTTTGAACAGGTTTCCAAAGCAGATGGTTGGAAACCTGTTCAATATGTTTTCCTGAAGCAAACTTGGTGTCTTTATTGCTGCATCCATGTTTAACATGTTCTAAGATTCAGGCGGAGTTTCAGGGTCAGACATCATTAAAGCATCACACAGAGCCATTTGCTTTCGAAAAAGTTAATCAACAAACATCCTTCATAGCCACAATCCTTTTCCAAAATTAACAACTCTGCTTTCAGTAGTGATCAATTGTTTCTTTGCAGCACAGCAGTGCTTTCATTGATAAACTCAGTCAGCTGATTTTAGTCACAGCCTGCTGGCTACTTTCTTTGTTCGTCTGTGAGTGAACGACTGGATCCCCCAACTTTGCGCTTTTGTTCAAATTATCAGTGAAGTTTTTCTACTTGATACGGCTACTCTTGCTAAATAATAAGTTCCCAAAAATAAAAAAAAAATCCAAAGTGGTTTTTAGGAGGAGCTTTTCGACTCACTTGAATATAAAAAGCACTTTTTTGGTTTCAGAAGGTGTTTTCCTTATTTATTGATGGTAGAAAAACTGTTTCACTCTTTCACCAAACAATCAGATCAACCACAGCAGCTGCTTCTCCTTGTTAATCACAACAGGAGGAGGGAGAAATACGATAAATACAGTAAATAAATAATAGATCTACCATTCACACAACCTTAGATCTTTGATTTAGCAAAAAAGAAATTAATCTATTTTCACAGTACGCTTACACGTGTTGGAAAACTGATTCCTTCTCACCCCGTGCTAAAATATCAAGGTGAAAGTTATCATTAGTATAGATCCAGCTCCTAACCCAACTGTGAGAATAAATTAACAGTGATATTTTTCCTATCGCCCGATGAGAGTCTGGCGTTAACACTGATAACAGCCCACCACTAAAAATCAACATTCTCCCCTTTAAACTATGTTGCAAAACTATTCCTCCATCAAAATCAGGCATTAAGTTTTTTGTTTTTGTTTTTTTTTTTAATTCATGCACCTCTAAGTTATCACTATAAATTCTGCTGTCTAAATTTATGATTTAACCAAAAATATCTATGTCATAGAGTATGAATCGTCTCATATTGGTTTTCTAATCATGACAATGAGATCATTGCCCTTAAATCGCCTCCACAGTCACCAGATCTGAATCCAATAGAGCACATTGGGGATGTGGCGGAATGGGAGATTTACATCATGGGAAACGCAACAAACCTAAACATTGAAGAGATATGTTATACTGTAGATTATATCCTCTAGAGGAGATCAACTCTAAGGATAGAAAGACCAACTTTGTCTTAGAAGGAATTTCTGGAAAGTAATGTTTATTTAACCATATACACTGTGGTGAAGTAGATGGTGGTAGTACAAGATGGAGAATAGTTACAAAAATNTGTAGGTGAATAAATGTGTGGATCTTTTTGAAGTCTGGTATACTCAAAAAGGTATACTCATTACTCTTTTAGTAATGAGTATACCTGGAAAAGCTTTAAAACTGTAAAAAGACAGATTGCTTTAAATGGCCTATATTAGGCAAAATAAATAGTGGTGGGCATAGAGGTTTTTAAATCTAGATTATTTCTCACTGTAATCTTGGAATTAATCTAGATCGAAATCGCTCATTTTAATTCTGCCAAAGAAATTCATTAATAGTGTGTGCTTCCTAAATAATAAGTAAAAGTAAGTCTTTGAACAGGTTTCCAAAGCAGATGGTTGGAAACCAGATCACAGATCCATTTGCTTTTGAAAAAGTTATAAAAACGTCCTTTCATTTATAAACCCAATCAGCTGATTTTACTCACCTTTCACCCGCTGGCTTTGTTCGTCTGTGGGTGATCGGCTGGATCCCCCAACCTTGCGTTTTTCTTCAAATCATCAATGAAGTTTTTCTATTTGTTACGGCTACTCTTGCGACCTAATAAGTTCCCGAAAATCAAAACAATGCCAGAGTAGTTTTTAGGAGGAGCTTTTCGACGCACTTTTTTGGTTTCAGAGGGTGTTTTCCTTACCTATAAAATTAACAGAAATAATCTACAAGTTGACTTACAAAAAATTTAAATATAAATGTTAATTGTTGGTAGAAAAACTGTTTCACTCCCTCACCAAACAATCAGATCAACCACAGCAGCTTTTTCTGCTTGTTAATAACAGCAGGAGGCGGCCTGACGAGTAGGAGGGAGAAATATGATAAATACAGTAAATAAATAACAATAGATCTACCATTCACACAACCTTAGATCTGTAACATTAATAATTTAGCAAAAAATAAATTAATCTAATTTCACAGTATGCTTACACAGGTTGGAAGACTAATTTGTTCTCACCCCATGCTAAAATATTACGATGAAAGTTATCATTAGTATAGATCCAATATTTTTCTATTGCCCCATGAGAGTCTGGCGTTAATGTGCTGCGTTAACGCCAAAAACGGCCTGCTAAAAATCAACATTTTTATTTTTAAACTGTTACTATACCATTCCTCCATCAAAATCAGGCAACATTTTTTTAGTTTATTTATGTTGCATTCATGCACCACTAAGTAATCCTGATTAATTCTGCTTTCTGAATTTATCTTTTAATCAAAAATACTTCTATGTGATAGAGTATGAATCGTCTCAGATTGGTTTCTTGATCATGACAATGAGATCATTGCCCTTAAATTGCCTCCACAGTCACCAGATCTGAATCCAATAGAGCACATTTGGGATGTGTTGGAATGGGAGATTCACATCATGGAAATTAGAAATACCAACTTTGTCTAAGATTTAGAAGGAATTTCTGGAAAGTAATGTTTATTTAATCCATATACACTATGGTTAAGTAGATGGTGGTAGTACAAGATGGAGAATAATTACAAAAATTA